CATTCTCTCAGTTTAAACTTTTAATCTGTGATTTGTGTTCTATTGTGAATAAAATATTAGATGTTGGCACCTCCACATCATTGCATTCAGGTTTTATTCACAATTTGTTTAGTGCCCCAACTTTTTTAGAATCCGGTTTGTAAACTAAACAAGCTAATTGCACGACTAAGACACTTTACCAACTAATCTACTGTTTAGTACCTCACAACAGATCCATGATTTTTTTTTGTTGTTTTTTTTGGGGTAGGGGGGCGGGGGTAAATAAATATTCAATGCAGTGCATTTAGGTGAAATGTATTTCTGGTTTTTCACTTGTGAATACAAATACACACCACAATTTCTTTAAAAAAAAAAAAAATTTCTGAAACTGTGCACAATTTTCTTTCCACTGCACAATATTATGCTGCTTTGTAACTGAAATGGGACAAATATCAAACATTACAAAAGCTTTTTCAGTTTTTTATTTATTTATTTTTTTTTATAAATATTCTCCCTGCTGCTCATGTTTTAGGAGTTTTGTGAAATATCAGCTTCAGTATCTAGTTTACCTTTCAGAATCTGACAAAAATCTTGTCTGATTCAATGTTTTATGAGTTTCCTCCCACGAAAAAAAACAAAAAAAACACACACACAACGGAAGTCTTTTAAAGGACAAAATAATAATAATAATTAGAACTCTGACTGTGCAACATTGGGTCAGGATCTGTCCTCTTTCCTCCCTTGAAATGAGGAGTAAAAAACAAACTCTGCAGCAGTATACGTTTAAGGCACATTTGATTCCTGCTGTGAGAGATTGTAGCAGTGGGCTTGAATGATAAAATTGCGTTGTCAAGGTAACAGGTTGTTCTGAAGACTGCAAATATGTCATGTTGGTGATGCTCCCATACAATATCCCCCCCTCCCCCCACCACCACCGCTGCAGCTCCCCAATTGCAGGAGCGAACCACGCGGGCTCTGCTGTCTCACAGCCGGCCAGGTGACTGCAGATATAATGTCCTTTGCATTCATAATTTACAGCTCTCTAATAGCCGCTCCATCTTCATCAACATCGCTGAGATTATTCTCTGCAGATCTCATTTGCAAAAGCCAAATTGTGACTGTCGGAAACCTTCAGGTGGCTCTGCAATTTCTCTCGAGTGATGAATGAGAGAAGAGGTGGAAAGTGCTGGAGAATAGAGATGCACCGAGGCACCCTTTAACATGGCTCCTGAAGTAACCATGGATACCTCTATTTCATGGATGGAGTAATTTTAGCTGGAGTGGGATCTGAGGGAAACGTATCACTGTTCTCTCCATGTCAGCTATTATCATGCCTTTCAGCTCGACGTCATGTCGCACGCTGTATGTTTTTTTTTTTTTTTTTTTTTTTTTTTTTTTGAGCACAAACATTCTGGACGTATCACAGTTTGGAGGATTTGCTCATGTGCATTGTTTTGTAAAAGCAGGCTGCAAATTGCAACAGACACGCACGCTCATATTTGAGGTTTTGCTGTTCCGCAAAAGCAAAAGTGAGATTTGGGTAGAAGAAGGGAGAAAATCCCAGCCGTAACAATCATTTTACATGCAAAACATTTCCTGAAACAGCCATATGTCTGTGGGGAGTTGCAGGTGTTTTAACAAGAGAAGGGAGACGAGGATGCAACCATCACATCATCAAGAGGAGATGTATATATGGTACAAATAAAAATATAAAACAGAGCTGTTCTCGTTCAAAGCACAAGAGGCTTGACTTATAGTAAATCTGAGAGGCAGAACACTTATCTAGATAACCGCAGCAGACTGATAAATGCTGCTGAAACTGTTTTTTTGATAGTTTTATTGGAGATGGGATTCAAAAAGTGCATCAGTGGAATGAAAGTGATGTCACTGCTCAAGACTAACGAACTCCCAATTCTGGTGCATTTGGAAGATTGTCTTATTTGTCAAAAAAAAAAAAAGAAAAAGTAATGCAAAGTATACATGTAGTTTTTTTCTTTTAAATTGTAATTTTACATTCCAGCATCCAAATAGTAATAATAATAATAATAATAATAATAATAATAATAATAATAATAATAATAATACAAAAAGGTCTGTGTTGTTTTGAAACATTTAAATGTTCGTGTTTTCAGGCGTGTGTGTTAATGTGAGCAGGGCACATCTGCATTCATACTGCACAAAATATTTACATAGCGGATACGGATGATGAATGTCTCCTTCTGCCATAACTCAGCCCTGTCATATGCTCTCTGGCTCCATCTACCGGCTGAATTCAGCAACTACACGCGCAAACAAAGTTCACGTGTGAACTGCAGCAAAAATTTAGAGGCAGCGCCAAGCTCTCAGGACTGCGTGGATCCACTGACATTCAGTTTGACCTAATATTTTAAGATTTTTTTTATTTATTTTTTTAATTTTTTTTATTTTGTTTTACCTCCCACTGATAAAGAAGCACAATAAACCAAACACATGCTGACCGTAAGAAACCCAATTTAAACGCTGAGTCTTGTTACCTTTGTACCATCCACCACAGCACAGTAGCCATCAGCATTTACTCTGTTTATAATTGGATGATTCTAACACTTGCTTCATGATCTGACACATTTAGGTGTCACCAATAAATAAATAAATAAATAAATAAATAAATAAATCTGAAGGAGGCACAGCAGAGAAACTTGCCCTACTCTTGATGTCAATTACATGTTTCAAGTGTGATCAAGTTTTCTGAGTGATAAGAGGGAAAAGACAGAGAGAAAGAGAGAGACTCCAAAGGTCCAAAGTTTTTCTCAGGAATGGATTCTGAGTTCCTGTGGGGAAGCTGTAGCAGTTTGTATTAGTGTCATTTTTCAGAGCAATTTTCCCAGAATATCCAAGAAGTCCACTGTGCGCTAATCACAGTTTATATAATCCAATTAACAGAGAGTAAGATTTTGTCAAAATAAATGAGAACCCAATTTTCTCTCCCTCCTCGTGAAGATGTGGTTAACTGCTGAGTGTGAGGTGTTATCATTTATTAATTGGCTGCGAAATCGTTAGAATTTGTAACAGAAAAAAAAAATCCACCAAGATAATATTTTATGTAAAGATCTATAAAAAAAATTTAAAACAGATTATTTATATGTGATAACTTTCAGTCCAACATACACTTAATTGAAGTCGCTTCGGGTCAAAAGGATCAGGCGAAAGTGTCAAAAAGCAGTTTTCAGCAATGGTTAGGTTGCAATAAATCTAAAAGTAGTGTTACAGAAGAGAAAGAAATTTACTCAAATGTTAACTTTTTTTTCTCAAGCATTACACAGAGCTTTACAAATGTATTCCATCAACATTTTACCACCACACGTAACCTAATGCATAATTGAACAGTAGAAGGAAAATGCGAGGTGGTTCTTAACTTTTTCTTTTCTTTTTTTTTGCTCTGGGTGTTAATTATGGTGGCGTTTTTGTATCAGTTTTGTGTGCCTGGAGAGAGTGAAATATTTGGCCAAACTCTGTCAAACTGAATGGAGAGCAACTGCAAAAATCAGTTATCCAGTCTTGCCAAAAACAAAGCCGTTTTAACACAAAACAAGCGAGCAGGTGTTGACACCCTGAACAGTAAGCTGCAGATGATTATTGCTGAAGAAGTCGGCAGGTCACAGAGTGCTTTTGAAAGGAAAGTTAATTGGAAGGACAATGTGTGGTTAAAAAACAAAACAAACACAGAGCTACAAATCTGGACAAAATTAGCTTCTCCCAGTTGTAAAAAACGATGCTTTGTTGCTATGGGCACGCCTCATAACAGCTATCCAAAAGTGGAAAAGTTGGAGCAAAAATCCTTCCAGCTGCACAGAACCCAAGACAAGAAGTGGCTGAGGAAGAAAAGAAAAAAAAACCTGAAGAAAAATCTGCAAAGAGAGAAAATAAGAACAAACACAAAAGAGCTTTTCTAGGTGGCAGCATGTTAGAGTAACTTTGTCAATTTGTTTTGAAATTTTTTCTTTTTAAAAACTTTTTTCCTCTGTTTCTAACAAAAAACTATCACTATGTTGGATCAGTGTTCTCTGGTTTTGAATGCTGCGCAGCTGGAAGGATTTTTGTTGATACTTTTTCCATTTCTGGGCTTTTGTTTTGATGCATAACCAGGGCAACCAGATAGTTTACAACCAGAGCTGGTTAACGTCACAAAAGTGCAAATGATACCTTAACTGCACCCATAAATCCCAGATGAGTTGAAAAGGGGGCACTGCGAATCCGGAGCAGGAATAAAGAGGAGAGAAAGACAGGGGAAATTCAAACTGTGTCTTCTGAAGCAAAAATGTTATCAAACAAGCTGGATTCATAGAATCAAGAAAATGATATGGACAACCCTGAGAATCCCTCTTCTTCAGACTGTAATACAACAACAGGGTGTCCTCAGTCAGAGGCTTCTGCAGATGTGTAGTAATACACACTGCTACAGGAGAATATTCCTGCTCACAGTCATCAGAATCTACAAGACTTTGAAAAAACGTAATGTTCAAAGTCAAGGATTTTGTTGTTGTTGTTGTTGTTGTCATACGAGCTCACAGGATGTTTTGGCCCAGTTTAAGAAGCCTGATGAGTAAATAAAAAAAAGAAAATACGTAAATAAATAGATAGATAAATAATTACATAAATAACAGAGTACATAGATTTATAAAGAGTATAATGTAACTGACAATGCTGCCAACATTAGTGACAGTTCTAGGACATACATTACTTCATGCATTAATTGATGTAAAAGTAGCGATGACACGTTCATGGAAATAATTTTCAGTTAGATTTTGTTGTATTTATTTGCTAAGAAACTAAGACACATTTTTTTTTACTAAATTTATATAAACATTAAGTAAAATAAGTAAAATATTACGGTACTGGTTATGATGGAACCCCATAAAGAAATAATTATATTCAATCCAATCTAATATATTAAGACGCACTATCAAATAAAAATAGTAATGGTAATTTCTTCTCCTGCTGCCTTTTATTTTGTATCAAGGAAAGCGGAAGTTGCTTTGAACGTTTCCTGTCGCCTCCCTTATTTTCACCCCTTCTGCGTCAGTTAAGGCGTGTTCACGGATCCTGGTTCTTACTCACATTTTTGGAAGTCACGCAAAGGCTCGGACACAGGACAAGTTTGTAAACCTCTCCAGCCACACGGTAATTACAACTTAAACACGGAGTGGTAGCAGGGACGCTGCTGTTGACTCCTGTTGGTCCAGTTTTCCGTAGTTAGACGTCGGAGTTGGTGCGTTAGCTGAAGCTAAACTTAATTAGCTGCTTTGCGTCAGAACTCTTAAACTTGCAGTTTCTCATTTGCAACTTTTTTTTTCGGTTAAGTTTAGACGGTTACATAAACCTCATTGAAGGACATAGATGACTAGCTAAAAAGCACCGTCTAGCCAGGCAATGCCTAACTTTTAGCCCAAACAAAACGTAACGCCGTGTACATATTTGACTTGTGTTTAAGTGGCTTGTTTAGTTGCATTTTTTCCCACCTCTGTGTGCGTCCGATGTAGTGTCTGCTTCCATAGCAGGAAGTGGTTGAAGGGAGCTGTGGGGCGTGTCTGTGGCTAATAGACTCGGAGGAAGGCAGAGGAAATTCTAGTTGTGACTAACGAGACCAACTGGTGGGACTGAGAAGCACAAACCGGTTACTGTTCGGTAAAGCAAAAATGTTCAAACAAGCACAAGAGTTGATTTGATGTGGTTTGTGTGTGGGGATTTAATTAATCGATCATTGGCCCTCATGAGATCAAACATCTTGTATCGATTACTTCACTCACACCTTTGTTTTCAAACCCAACCGAGGCCTCAAGTTTATGTTCTGCTGTTTTTGTTTTATTATTGTTCACAGAAGATGTTCTTTCTCAAAAAAGTTGTCGGTGGCATCGTTGACGTTGTCAGGTGAGAATCTGAACGTTTCATATGCGCGATGCAAATCTAAGCGCTGTTTGCGGTGTTAAAGGTCATTTTCATCTCTGGTCTTTTTGCAGCAACATTGACCCCGAGCAGTTTGCGCCCTCAAATCCTGTAAGTCAGTGATAACATCATCCATACCTGCAGTTTCCATGTGTTTTCTCATTCTTAACGACTTTAATGTGTAAAAGAAAGAAATAGTGCTGTAGGTTATTTAATAAAGGTGAAGAGAAAAGGTTAATGCATCAAAATGTGCAAAACCTTTGCCTGTTTTTTTTTTTTTTTTGAGACTCGAAGTACACAATGCTTATAGATGAAAATTGTGAGTTTCAGCTTAGAAAGTGAAGAAAACAATTATAAACAATTATTCTGTATTTGACCTGCTGGTCACTGATCCGAGCCAATCAAGGGAGTCGATTTCTGGCTGCCCGATTGGTGCATTTCTAACCTGTGCGGTATCTCCGTCCCACAGCCTCCTCCACGCCGGCCAGCCGTTTACGCAGAGCAGCATGAAAACGACGAGGAGAAGCAGTTCCGCAGAGTCTTCCAGCAGCTCGCTGGAGATGTGAGCGTCTCATCTTTATTTCTCTTTTATTTTATTTTTGTTACACTTTGATGACACTGTCTCCTTCCGTTTCTCACAGGACATGGAGGTGAGTCCTACTGAGCTGATGAACATCCTGAACCGGATCATCTCAAAGCGTAAGCGCCGGTTCTGTTTGTTGCATGTAAAGCTCTCATCTGTGTGTGTGTGTTCACTTTAACTCTTCAGACTCCTGTTGTGACGATGTTCTGAACAGTTCATTTGTGCATCACAGAATCAGTCCCTTAAAAGATTTTTGTCCAACAATCATTTACTCTCGTTTTTAGATGGAGACCTGAAGACGGATGGCTTCAGCATCGAATCCTGCAGGAGCATGGTGGCTGTCATGGACGTATCCTTTCTGTCAAGCGTCATCTGTAAATATTAATGGATGTAATTTGTTTTCTATAAATACTAATAAAGAAGTCTCAAGATAGGAAGTAAGGTTGAAGCCGGAGAACTTTTGGACTTTCTGCTTGATTTTCCTCAACATGGTTTCAGTCGGACAGCACTGGGAAACTTGGCTTCCATGAATTCAAACATCTGTGGAACAACATAAAGAAATGGCAGGTTGGTGCAGCACAACTTGTCGGACACAAAGGAATGCAGCAGAGATGAGCTCTGTCATCCGATTTGAATGAACGGCGTGAAAAATCCTCGTTAATTTAAATGCAAATCTGAGATGGAATAAGCTACCAGAACAGACGGCTGCTTTTCCTAGATATGTCTGGTTGAGCCGACTAACCAGGAAACTGCGCTGGCATAAGTGCCCTAAATATTTGCGTTGTTTCTGTTTAGGGCGTGTACAAGCAGTTTGACGCTGACGGCTCAGGTCTCATCGGGGCAGACGAGCTGCCGAACGCGTTCAAAGCTGCAGGTGAGGATTCACAGTACAGCGACATGAAAACATGCACACACCTCATTGCTTTTCCTCCGATGGATGGGATCCATCCATTTTCTTTACACCCTTGTCCCTTGCTGGTGCCTCTCCAGCTAGCGTTCCGGACAAGAGGCGGTGTTCACCCTGGACAGGTCGCCAGTCTGTCGCAGGGCAACACAGAGACACACAGGACAAACAATCATGCACACACACACTCACACCTAAGGGCAATTTGGAGAGGCCAATTAACCTGACAGTCATGTTTTTCGACCCATGCATGCACAGGGAGAACATGCAAACTCCATGCAGAAAGACCAGGGCTGGGAATTGAACCCAGAACCTTCTTGCTGCAAGGCAACAGCTCTACCAACTGCACCACTGTGCAGGAGTTATTACTGTTAATTTTTTTTGTCCCTTGCTTAGGCATAAATGTGTAACAATTTCTAGACTTAAAAATAACTTTCATAAATACAAAATGAGGTTGTTTTTTTTTTATGTTAGTTTATTCGGGGGGAAAAAATCCAAAGCGTAAGCGCCACACCTGGCTCTGTGGAGAACTGTTTGTTTCACTCTGGGTGAAAACGACCAGCTGCAGTTGATTAAAGCAACAGTCAGTCTTTTGAGAATGAATGATCTGTTTAAGGTCAGACCACAACCCTGGCTGGAGTCAAGTCCAAACTTTGACTAGAGAACCCAGAACAAAACCAGTTGGAGGCTCAAAAGATTTGACTGTGAAGGTTCAGCTTCCAGCACAATCCTATGCAGACAGCAATGGAAGACCTTGTATGTAAGGATTTTCATTTTAGAATGGCTTAGTCAAAGTCTAGACCTAAATCCAGTAGAGGATATGCAAAGTTGATTTTATGTTGCTGAGCTTGTGTTTCAAAGAAATTTGAACCAACGCTTCACCCTGCAGATGTCTCCAAAAGTGTATCGTACAAGACAATCTGTGGGAAAAAAAAAAAAAATGGAGCTCCTCTGCCTTCTCGCAGTGCTAACTAGAAACGGCCAATCAGAGCCAGGAGGAGGGTCTCGGCACTGTCAATCATGCTTGTGCAGTGCTGCTCACCAATGCTGATGCATAAAATGTATAAAACAAATGAACAGCAGAGGCTGTATACAAGATTCCGGTGCGTTCGTTCGTTTGTGTCGCTGCAGCTCCATGGTAACGGACTGGTCTGATCTGTGCGTCTCCTCCTGCAGGCTTCCCCCTCAACGACCAGCTGTTCAATATGATCATCCGCAGGTATAGCGACGAAAGCGGCAACATGGACTTTGACAACTACATCGGCTGCCTCGTGAGGCTGGATGCAATGTGTCGTAAGTGGATCTGAGCAGATCGTCTGACAGTTTAGTGGCTTTATCGGGTCAACGTGTTGTCATGTTGAAGCTTTATTTAATCTGCTGCAGGGGCCTTCCAAACCCTGGACAAAGACAGAAACGGCACTATCAAAGTGAATGTTCAAGAGGTAATGGAATCAAAAATATCGGTGGATTCAAGTTTTGTAGTTCAGTGACTTCATTATGTGGTTGTTGTCGTCATTGCAGTGGCTTCAGTTGACCATGTACTCCTGAGTCCTGGAGATGTCGCCCTCTTCCTCACCGGCTGGTTTTCTGAAATGACTCCACTCTTTATCTAAGCACTTCAAAAATATTTTATCTAGACGTCCCCACAGCTTCCTGTGTTCCTCATTAGTTAGGAGCGCATGCATGCAGTTTTTTTCTCCGAGTAATGCATGTAGGTCAAACCTGCAAGCAGAATGGTCTCCATACCTGCAGTGTATTGTTCCAAGATGGTCAGATGTGTGGTGGAGGGTTGGTGGTCATGCTATGAAAAATTGACATTTTGCGAGATAACTCTGCACTTTTTTTTTTTTTTTTTTTTGCAATCAAATTTCCTTTTCCATATCCATAACAGCTTTATTAGCACGTCTCTAGTGCTGTGTTGGTGAAAGTAAGTTAGCAAGATGAGGTGACAGTCCGGTTCAGCTTCGCCCGCTTATTTCTACCAGTTTCACCTGTTTGGATTCTTCTTTGAGCTCTCTGGGTGTGTATCAGCCTGATGCACGCCCAGAGAACGTGCATCAGCAGTGTCTACCACCGCCGCTCCTGCTTTGCTTTGTTTTGTTGGACCTGCTGGGTGTGGGAGGGTATTCCTTCAGAGGTTGAAAGAAGACTGCAACCTTGACTTGGCAAATTCCTAGAAATGCTCTATAAAGCCTCAACCTTGACACAACTTCCACAACTGAGACAGTGTGTACGGCATGCAGGTCTCTAAGAACACTGGTTTGTGTGTAGTCAGATTTGTTAGAACCCTGCATTTGTGAAACTGGCTTCAAGTGCAGTAACCACCAATTTGTAGTTGGACAACAGTGAGATGATTAAATTAAAATCTTTTAATCTCTGCCAAAGTTACTTTAAAAACCCCTCAACTACGAAGACAACGATGTCCTTATTAACCGACTGACTTTTTTTAGTCCAACAGTTCAACTTTTAATTGTAAATATTTGTTGAAACTGTCCTGTTATGACAGTAAGGAATAAGACAATCTGTGAAAAATAAAAAAATCAAGCTCCTCTATCTGCTCCCAATGCAATCTAGAAACAACCAATCGGAGCCAGGAGGAAGGTCTTCGCACCTTCAACCACTCCTCCCTGTACCACCGCTCTCCATTATGCTGCAAGCCAGCGCATGCTATTGTGAATGCTTATGTTAGCTAGCATGGCCACAAACGATGGCAGATAAACGGTTTTCCTGTAACGGGAAGTCGTTTCTCTGCCAGCAGCACATTTAGCAGCAAGTATGCGATGCTGATTGACAGTGCTAAGACACTCCTCCTGGCTCTTATTTGTTTTTTTTTTTTTTTTTTACTTAAGATAGCAATAGAGGCTTAGGAAAGAGAGTGATCTTTCTCATAACATACCGTCACGCCATGGTGACAGTTTTAACAAATATGTAAACATTTTTCATAAGTTACATACTGCACCTGTAGGGTGTTAAAAGAAATTGATGAACGCTAACACATTCTGAATGTATCGAAATTATAACCCCAAGCCTTTCTCCAAAGTGAGCGAATCTAGTATCGCACGTCTTGATACGCAGGGTTTTAAACCTAAGTTCTGTTGGAACAGCGCACTTACTGCTTCCTCTCACTTTATGCATTACTACAGCTGTGGTAAAATGTGCACCAGGTTTAGTCAGCACAATGAATTATGTGAGTCAATTATGTGCCTCTAATGCATGCTAAAAGTTTGTTGCCATGCAGTTAGAATCCCGCTCATTTAACTGTTACTGACTGCTGATGTCAAATAAATGCCTGTGCCATGTTTGGAATAAAACTTGTTTCATAGTCGTCTTTCTTTGTGGTGGATAAGTGTGTTGTAGATTGAATTCTCATGCTCAGCCACTGAGAATTACAAAATGTCAAAATAAGCATTATTGAATTAGAACTTGGTTCCCTTTTATATCATGTTTATAATATGCTGGGCAGTTAAAACTTTTTCTTAATTAGATGTTTATATAAAAAATGAACAAAAAAACTTTATCAGCAGAATCTGGGTAAACATCTCTTTCAGTCACCCACAATCCATGACTCTCCACCTAACTTGTGTCCAAAAAAAAAAAAAAAAAAATCTTAGCCTGCATTTCATTTCTGCTTCCTGGTCATCCATGCAACACTGGAGAAGTATTAAACATGTTTCCTCCAACCAGCAATTTACACTTATATGGCATATTTGAACTCCTGTACTAGAGATGTATTGATGTTGCTTGCTCTGTATTTTAGCAATAGCGTCCTAAGAATATCCCCACCCCCTTCAGTTCAGTGAGGTTTGAAATGCTTTTTATTGTTTGTATGTTGCAGCTTTTCTGTCGGGCGAGTTTCTGGCCAATGTAGGTGTTTCTCTTCTCTCCCCCCCTTTTTTATTTTCTGTACTTTAATTTGATTATCATCATTGACAAACTTCAAATATACTACTGATTTTGAATGAAAATACCCCAGAGTATTCATGGCCAAGAGAAAGCTTAGTTAAATTCTCAGCGCTCCTTCAAAATAAAACACTCAACCAGTGGATAAAATGGATTTCACTGGACAACAAAACATGATTAGGAATAATAAAACAGGCGGTGGTACACATCATCAAATTCGCTGTTAATGATATAAAATTGTGGGGTATATGTTAGAAATTCATAAAGCTTTACTTTGGAAGCCGCTGATGTTAACCGGAAATAATTTATACAACGTTAGCGTCACGCAGGCTAGCTTGACTTCCTATCCAGTGGAAAAGGAAGTTTTTTCCTCACGTTTCTTAATAAATTGTGCCTTCTTTATCTTGAAGGTAAGTCCATCGCTCAGTTAGTTATGCTTGCGATAGGAATACGACGTGTAAACTGTGGTTGCATGCGGAAACTACATCATTAGCTGCCAGGTAAGGTAGCTAGCCTACAGTGCAGGGAGCTAGCTTCGTGGGTTGTTGTGCAACAGAAAATGAACGCCTACTTGGTGTTTATTATTTTGAAAGAAGCTCAATAAGCCTCAGCGCTTCTAATCACGAAAAATAAAGACGTTTTCTTGAAACCAACCTGAGGTCTGGATGGATGTCGCATGTTTAAACACACCGTCCATTGTTCTGAGCTAACGACAAGGTTCAACACCCCCGTGGTTTATTTGTGCTCTCCATTAATGCATGTAAGCTTATTTAGTTAGCTTCTTGCTTTTTCACTGAGCATTTAAGCAATCATCTACTGGTTGCTGTGCATCCACATATCACTGCAGCTCTGTGATAAAAATCCCTCAGCTCTGCAGAATCGTTGCTCCATAAAGCTGCCCTGAAAACCAGCCAACCGTTTCTGCTCCTTCAATCCGGTTAAAAAGCCGTTTTTTACAAAAAATGATGGTCTCTATATACACAACATTTAATTTAACATGCAGCCTGTAAGAGAAAAAACATGTCTGTCTTATGGGGGGAAATGTTCTATAACCTGACTAAGGTGTGTAAGCCATGTTGAAGCACCTTTTTAGCTTGTTCGCCTTTGAATTACCCTCCCGCCACCATTATAATGAATCCGAACACTACAAACTGCTCCTTTCACACTAGTCAAGAGCGTAGCTTACAAAAAAGCATACAAAGGAGAGCTTTCCCCTTTAATGCTGCGTTCCGGTTACCTCGGAAGTCAGAACTCGGTGCTGGGTTTGACGTCACACCCGAAGTAACAACGTCCCGGTTAAAAAGTCGGGATTTCAACATGGCGGCGCCCATATATTGTTCGCAGTAACTCTTACGAGCATCATTTTAAAGTTGACATTCCATTAACAAGCACAACTTGTAGTTGTTAATTGTAGAGTTGTAGTTGCTCCACGTAGCATTGACTTTATACGCACTCTTACAAGTGTCTCTCTCTTGAACTAAAGATGTTTCCATCACAGCTTACTACTGTTGATCTGAGGAGCGGCCATATTGAAACGCGAAGCTGGACTGTCAAGTCATAACTGTGGTTTACTGTAGTTGGAGTTGCTCCGGCTTTCTCAGTGGGAAGCCTTCCAACTTCAGAGGGTGTTGCAATTGATTTTTCTGATTTTGAAACACAACTGGAACGCAGCATTAGAAAAGGATTTGTATGGTAGACAATAAGAGTCAACAATTTTATTTTATTTTTTTACTTTAACCTCATAATATTAATTCTGATATAGATTGACACTTTGGAGCAACCAGACAGATTTGAGTTGTGCAGGAAGAGAAATAGCTTTCAATTCTGATTAAAGTCAGAATTGATTTTCTTTTATTGGCCCTATCCCTTTTCTTACTTCTGTTACCACAGGCTTCCATAACAGGACAATGATGCTTTTAGGTACGGGGGATTTCTCAGACTGTCGATTATGAACAGTTCAAAGTTGATGTCAGTTTTTATAAGAAACTTTAAGTCGTGTCTTTGAAAGCTGAAGATCAAGGGGCATCGAAATGTTTCATCATCACAATGAGTCGAAGCATATACGTCCAAACCCAGAGACAGATTTGATTGGGGTTTTTTTAAGCGTGAATTGGTCAGAATATGTCACATTAAAGGTTTCTAACTTTATATAAATCACAAAGTGGATGCACTTCTCTGGCATTTTCTTCTCCTTGGCTGTCCAGCAGACTGTAGCCGCTGGGGAAGCCTTACAGAGGCCAAGCAGCAGCTGGAGTTATTAGGACTGGGTGGACAGGATGTCTTCTCCGGTGTACTACAACCACGACAGCGCTGTCCGCTTCAAGAAGAGAAAAGCTCGTTTTTCTTTCAGTGAAGTCCACGTCCTGCTGGATGAAGTGAGGAAGAACCGTTCGGTGGTTGTGGGTACGTGCGTGTTTGCGTTCTCCGTTTTGTGACGAGGGCGTGTTTTTAGGTTCTGAAACGGCTTCGAAGCTAAGGCAAATCTGTTTTTCTCTTTCTTTCTCTTTTTCAAAGGCAAATTCAACCGAGGAATACCAACCGACTCAAAGAAGCGCACCTGGGCGGAGATTACAGCACGCGTCAACGATATCGGGGAGTGCCAACGGGAGGTCATAGAGGTCATCAAGAAATGGTCCGACCTGAAGTGCGACACCAAGCGCAAAGTGGCGGCCATGCGGTCGGGGACCGTGCCCAACAGGGGACTCAACTCGCGTCTCTCCCGAGACCTCACTCAGACGGAGAAGATAGTCCTTCAGATACTGGAGATGGACGAAGACGACCAAAGCACCGGAGAGTGCGGTCCGCTGGGGGATGACGACGACGTTCCCGAGGAAGAGGAGGAGATGGAAGAGGAGGACATGATGGGCATGCAGAGTTCTCCCAACGGCGGGGGGGACATGTCGTCCATGCCGCCGCCGCCAACTTCCTACGGTATGAACAACCTGAGGAGTTCAGCTGGAAAAGATGAAATTTATGCAGGAAAAAAAAAAAAAGAAAAATCAAAACTTTTCCACGTCACCTTCATCAGAAAGCGCTCAAGTCACGGCTGAAGGGTTTGGCAGACCACACAAATGGTTTGAGATTTTCAGGAAACTTTTAAAACATTCCTGTCATATATATATGAGGAACGATTAAAGCATTTGAAAAACGTTGAGACTTTTATCAACACGTGAAATTACGAGAGCAGTCAACAAGTAAACATGATTAATTTATGCGTATTTGATTCTAATCTCTGTAAATCTCTCTGTTATGTGTAATGGTGACCAATATTTGTTATTTCAATACTTGGAATCTGATCAGTTTATTGGTTTCTCTTTTTCCATGTAATTAACTAGAGATTATTTTAGTAATTTGTTATTCTAGTGACTAATTGGATAAAAAATTGGCACATTTTGCAGATTTTTCATTTAACCACTTTCTTTTATACAATTTTGCAAAAGTGATATTTTACTGCCAAAAATGCAACAACATAATTGCTTTATGGTGTAGGGCTGATCTGTTGATTATTTTTTCCTATTAACTGATTAATAATTGGATTGCAAAAGGGGTTGGAATAGATTTTTTTTTTTTCTATTTGCAAAATTTGAATCGACTGAAACTAAAACTGCCATTTGAGTTCTGGGTAGAATATATTTACAGAAAGGTTTCTTTTGTCATCTTAAATTCAAAATGTATACATTTGTACAGTTTTGACGTACTTAACTACTCTGGGTGTGTTGTTCTTTCAGCAAATGGCTTTTAAAAAAAAATCTGATTACTAAATTAGTTGATGATTATTTCAATACAGTTAATACGATGAATCGTTTATTGTGGATTCTCCAATAAGCTGGGCATCTGCTGAGTTCAATGTACGAGCTACTTCTCAGTGAAGGTAAGAGGAGCGATGCTGCGGTGACTTCCACAAGCCGGAGTTTCAGAAAGCAGGAGTTTTTAAAGGGACAGAGGCCCAATTTCAAGGCGTTAAATTGAGAAGTAATATTTCTTCAAAGCCATGTATGAGATGTAGCATTTTTCGAATAGCTGAAGTTAGCAGAGTTACTTGTTTGTGCTATGAAGTGGCACTATATGCCTAGAGAACGCATAATACTGCCCCTTTAAGGCAAGCTGTCGGCACAAAAACTTCAACAGTGACTGCCATAACTCTTGTCCGTGACTTTGCTTCTTTGTGAAGATGTGACTTGTTATTGGATTTTCAGCTGCTTGTTTTAAAATGCATGACAGCTGCTTTAAACCTTCTAGGGGACTCATCACAGCCAGCTTATGATATGCAGTATGAGATTCCCCCAACAGAAGGTGATTAGGATTTCTCTTTTCTCTTAAACATTTAGACAACATTCAAATACGTTTTCATAATCTCTCGCTAACGAAAGGACTAACGTTTCCATTTTTTTTTTCTTTTTTTTTTCTTGCAATCAAGATACCGAAACCCCGTTTGGAGATTCGGACGACGACCAGAGAGAAGACGTGCTTCCCTCCAATCAGCCAGGAAAATCCGCCGAAGCGCACCAAGTGAACAACGGCGTCCATAAACACGTCCAACCGCCAATGTCTGCCGGCGCTCCGGCCCCGGCTCCGTCGCCGGCGGTCACGCTCCCTGCGGCGGCGCACAACTCCAGGGACAGCCTGCTGCAGAACGCCGCCCTTAGCCTGCAGGAGCAGCACGCCACCAACATGCTGCTGGAGACGGTGTCGCGCTCCCTGGAGCTGCTGGCCGAGTCTGTGCAGCAGCTGGCGGAGACGCAGCAGGAGTTTGTGCGCGAGTCGCTGCAGCTGCAGCGGGAGACGGTGCAGGTGCTCAGAGACTTCACGGGCGGAGCCATCGCCCTCATGCACGACAAACTGAACGGACGGCCGGCGTTATAACACGACCCGGAGAGAGGTCGGCGAGCCGCGACACTGACTTTGTGCTTGGCCCTCAGGTGCAGGAACATGAAGTTCTGTTGGTTGGCAGGTCTGCTTACTGTACTTTATTTTGAAACTTTATTGGTACAAACAGAAATAGGACCATAAAGTTTTGTTTTTGGTTTGTTTTTTCTTTTTAATTTGCTACTGAAGGTGGGATTCCTCCTGCCTCGTTTTTCTAAATTAAGCCCCTCTTTTGAAACTTTTACTTTAACACGATAATGGTAAAATAAAAGACAGAGAAAAGGGTGATTTCTTTTAAGAAAAATCTTCTCGTCATTTTGTGTGCTGTTTTGCTGTAACCTTCCTTTGCCTCGGTGTCTGGAGATTACCACATGTACTGTGATGGTTGAGTGGCCGTCTGCACCTGACCATCATATGGTCCTTATGTCTAGGAGCTGAATAAGCTGGTATTAGATGCATTGAAAAGAACTATATGTTAAGAGTTTGTGGCTGTCTGTTTTTTTATATTACACACAAACACTTGAATTGAAAGGTTCTGATGAGTTCTTTTGAATATGGAATAAACCCAACATGTAGAAAACTGAACCAACGCTTGCTTTTTTCGGATCCGTTTGTTTCAGGTGTGTTGACACACAGGGACATCTACAACATTCACAGAACTGGCGTCATTTTCTCATCAAAGCTAACAAAAAGGTTCTCAACATGACGAAAGAGAGACCTAAACCAATCTCAGCAGACATTTTGCCTGCAGAGAGTTTCATCCCTAGAACCCAAACCACACAGCTGGGATTCTCCGACATGCTGCTTCATGACAAGGAGCAGGGAAGCTGCAGCTCAAGCTTGGATTTATCACCAACTAATCCTGCTGTTGCTCCTCTCGGATAAAACTGGAACTTTCACAAGCCTTTCCGTCAGAATGTAACATGAAATACAGAGTAAGGATGAGCAAGAAGATGGATTTAGAGACGTGTAAATCACGCGCAGACCTCCAGACAGATTTATAATGTCACATATATGCCAGTAGGGGGAGCTGCACCTCAGCTTTGCTGACGAAGCCTGAAGCACAGCTGCTGTTGAACGCACACAACTTTATTTACACTAAAAATCCGCCTGCGGCTTGACAAGTCAGGCCATGAATCTGTTGGTTGTAGCAGATTTAGCTTCTCTTTCAGTAGAGATGCTGAAGTTGGGAAGATTCACGGAGAAACAACGATCTTGTTTTAACTTGTGCTGGTTTAAAGTAGAAGACTATTCTATATATATATACATGTTGCCTATCTGGATGGCTGATTGATGTGTAGTTGCTTATGGTTTAGTGAATTTACTTTTTTAGAAAAGATTAGAGCATTCAAGATTTCTTTTCTTCCAGCTGCTCCATTTCATTCAGAACTTTTGTTCATGTCAACGTGATCATTTTAAACTGTAAACGAATTAAATAAACAAGCAAACAAACAAGTAAATCAGCTCTTACTCTCGTGTTTTTAATGGTTGTAAGTGTGCAGATTGCTGGTTTCCATGGTAACGCCATAAGCGACAACATCTCCGAGCTTTTCACTGTTGAGCGATAACATGCACCGCTGCAGCAGAAGCACGCTGAGTGTGTCTTTGTCTCAACGAACAAGCTTATCTTGAGCTGCACTCATGTTCTTCTCTCAGAGGATAAGACGCATAACAATGACTGAATAAATAAAGGGAAACATGAAAAACAAATCCTGGGTTCGCACTTTCTCCAAAGATGTGAAACTCAGCAAAATCCCTGGATTCCAGTTCAGTTTATAGTTGATTTATTATTATTATTATTTTTGGACACTTTGAGTCTTTCTGCTCGTAAAACTGATAGGAAATGCTCCACCTTTGGTAGGAGTGATCAAAACAGAGCAGAAACCAGAAAACAAAGTGAAAACACACACACACACACACACACAGGAAAGAAAGAGGCATAGTTAAATCGAATTGCATTGTCCGTCTGCAGCTCCTTCTGCCTCTGTTAGTTAAACAGCTGTCAGGGTTGGGTCGGCGTGCCGCAGCAGGGGAGGGAGGGGGGTCTCTAGCAGAAGTTCAACAATCTGCTGGGGTTTCCTCTGAGGCTCAGAGGCAGGAGGCTGTCTGGGCTGTGGGGACGGGGGAGGGGTTGAACCGGGGGCCTGAAAAGGCAGCTGTATTCACATTGTGAGCAGGTCTTTTACCTTCAATTCTTTCCGCAGCCCTTAAACCTGAGCCTAAAGCCTTTCTGAAGGGGCCTTCTTCTCTGGGACGGCCTGTAAAACTGCATTTCACTCCCTTCAACCTCTCATCCTCTGTTCAGATTAAAATGAATTGGGCTTTGAAAATAAAACCCGAACCGCTCGCACTGAAATGCCTTTATATGCTGAAGTCCTGTGGCCTGTTTCATGTTATCATAAAACACAATCTGTTGCTGACAGACCAAATATTAAAGACTCTCTTTAGGTCCAACCCAGATAAAGTTAGATGGGTCAGCGGAGAGACTGTTTCTCCCCCATCTTGCTTACATTTTATTGCGTTCCTTTAGGACTAGTGCGCATATGGTGAAAAGTTTAAGGCTTTAGACACACAATGAAAGGAGGGAAAATCGATCCATCAGTCTTTTCCTCAACAAGTCCGCATGTAAGTTTCGTCCCCCTTCCTGCTGACCTCCTGACCCCTGTGGCCTTTCATTTCTTCAGCTTTCACCCCCACCTGTTCCCATTCCCTCGTTCCTCCAGCTCCCTCTTTCATATCCCATCTGCCACTGGGGCTGCAGGAGGATAGAGCCCGGAAAGGTGGACTGAAAGCGAGGCGATCAACTTGGATGGGATTAAATTATTGCTGTGGCTCCTTTAGGGCCCCAGCAGCAGCGGCGGAGCAAATGTGTGTCTGCTGTCCAGGCATTGAGTTCAGATTTACTTACCTCATTGTTTCAGGATCAAAACAACGGAAAAGACACGTATTTGATAAAATGTTAATCATTTTGGACCTCACAGAAAACTACCAAGAAATCAGCATATATGTGCTCTTAAAGAGACAGGAAGTAAGAAACATTGTGGTTATTGTCCAGGGCTTTGCTGTTGTTTGCTAAAAGAAAATGCTCCACAGTAGGATGATATTCACTTGTGTGCTGCTCTGTGAGCGATGAGACACACAAAACCATCTGGAGACTCAAAAATGTGAGTAACTATACTTCACACAAAGCGCAGAGTCTTTGAAGCCTGGTCAATTATTTCATCCTTGTAACAAAGATTTTTATATACTGCAGTAAAGACGATTATTTCTCCTTAAAGGGGCAGTAGTATGTATTTTGCAGACACATAGTGCCATTTTATAGCATAATCAAGTAACTATGTGTTCTTCAGTCATTATAAAAATGCTGTATATATCAAATAGGACTTTACACAAGGCATAATTTAGCACCTTGAAATTGGGTCTCTGTTTCTTTAAGAAGCTCCTGCTCTTTCTAGAACTTCATGAATTCATAACAGCATTGCTCTTCTATTGACCCTTTAATGTTTTGGGTTGAGAAGTTGTTTGTATAATAAGTAGTTTTTATTATGATAATACTATAGTTTGTGTAATAAGCTCAGCAGATGCACAGGTCCACCAGGTGTTTGCTAATTGATGCTGGCTAGTCTGAAGGAGCAAAGAGGATGAGTAGCGGTGGTGGGCTGCACTGTGAGGTGGAAGCACAGAAGCTTGGAAATCGGCTACTACGATTTCCCCGGAACGCTGCATAAGTAAAAGCTCCCAAGCATAAGAGGCTCGTCAGTCCAATGGCTGAATTATGAATATTCATGTGCGTCGTCGTCGTGATTTTTAATTACTTGTCGCGTGAACAAACTTATTGACGTATGAGTTTAATTTCATTTTTTTTATTTAATGGAAATGCTGCCATTGCAAAATCTTTTTTTTTTTGTTTTGTGTTGTTTTTTTAACATCGACAGAAATTTACATGCATTTGTAGCAAAAACGCAACCGCAGTCTTGTTTGTGCTGTTTTTACTGTAAACTTTTATTGGAGGAATAAAACAATTAATATTCAGGTGACTGTGTAATTAAGACAGCCTGGAGGGGGGAAAAAATAATGCTACTGGTCTAAAAAGGTTTAGAACAGATTGATTTATGTGCTAAAGGCAGAAAAGAGGTATAATTTAGATGCTTACCTTCTCACCCACACCACTTTGACCAAACCCAAACATTTCCTCTGTGTCAGTGGAAGCATCCAGAATCTTAATGAGATAAACCAATCAACCAAATTGCCTGCATAAATTATTTGAGTCTCTACATCCGCACCCACCACCCACAACAGACACCCACTCCACACCTCCTTTTGTCCCACAGGCAGACGGACGGCCCGGCCTGCAGAAGTGGCCGCAACAGCCCGACTTCTCCCCCCGGGGGTCAGATCTGCAGGAGATACCCCTCTCATTCTGCCACGGGGTCCTTGGGGAGAAGGATCTCCAAGCTGCTGTGCGGCTGTGGAGGAGGCAGATGCCGGCCAGTCAAAGTGATGGGAGGTCTGGAGAGTGGGGGGATGACACGACTCCTCTTAGGTTCCCATGCCCCGTGGCACACGCGTGTCACACTCCGGCAAGTAACGCAGACAACAGCAGCAGTGTCCATCTGCTCCCCTCGCACAAAGCCACGGCCCTGCAGCAGATACACCGGCTCACCATAAGCAGCACATGTCTAAAGTTAGTGTTTTCATGCGCTGCTCATGATAACTGTCATACATATTGGGATGAAGAATTATGACTTGTGGAAACGAGCACCACACAGGCATGCATGCCTCGGTTCATAGCTACAAGTGTTACAAGTGTCAGGACAACACTGCACAAAACCTCTAGACCAGGAGGAAAATGTTTTCATGTCTTTTGTTTTGCTAAAAGCAAACATGGGACAGCGTTCATTATTGTTTTTCATATATCTATCTGACACAGTTGATATGGCACCAATTCACAACAAATCTCAGGTCATTTCAATCCAGTCACACATACGTTCCAGCTGATCTTCTCAAACAATCCATGAATATCAGTTTATTATTTAAATGAGTTCAAAAAGTGTTCAGGAAACCCAGTATGTTGCACTGAGTCATTGACTTGCAGTATTCAGTCCTCCTGAATGCTGCAAGTAAAAAAAAAACAAAAAAACCCCAAAAAACTAGTGACAGCGGACGATTACCTGCAATGTGCCATTGACTTTACAGCAATCCCTCATACTGAGCATGCATGTGGCGACGGTGGAGAGGAAAAATTCCTTTTTAGCAGGAAGAAACCTCCAGCAGAACTTAACTTAGTATTATCTGGAGAAGACAGCGCAGATACACACTCAAAAAAAAAAAAAAACCCAGAAGGGTTGATGTTGGAGTACTTTCTATGCTAATGAAAAGTAAGGAAACAAAAAGCAGCAGAAAGAGAGTGTTTAGTTGTCGATACCAGGCAGATGTCGCAGCTGGACCAGATGTGGCTTCAATGGAGAGAAAACATAAAGTTAACAGGTGAAATGACAGCAAAAATGCAAATTGGGGAGCAGCAGCAGAAGAAGAAGAAAAGTGAGTAGAAAGTGGTCAGTTTGTCCTCAGCAGCGTGAGCCTAAAGCAGCATAGCTACAGCAATGACCTTTCTCCTCTGAGCCACTTACTGTGAATAAAGACATGCATGTTGTATATTATCAGAATTTACAGTTAGACGTTTGTATTTGCTCATCTTATTCATTTGGAGCTATTTGTGATGGATTTGGTTATTTGTTCATGGCGGGATAATTATCCCACCATGAACAAATGGTTCATGGTGGGAACCATTTGTTCCCACCAAATGGGAACTCTACTTGTTCCCATTTGGTGGGAACAAATAGAGCTTTTTGTGATGGATTTGGTTATTTGTTCATGGTGGGATAATTATACTGTTATCTTATCTTTTGAAGTAGGCAGGGTGTCTGCCTCACAGACAAAACCACGGCTCCGGTTTCACAGGAGAAGAGTCTGTTGACTCAAAGATCTGCCTCCCATTCTAGTACCAGGCACCGCTGGAAACCTGCTGTCTGAGAGCAGAGCGTTCATTAAATTCTGATCTGCGTTTAACAATGAGGGAAAAACGAAACCTGGACGGATCTTTTCACTCGTTTATTCTCACCTCGCTGCTGAAGTTGTACTGAAATCTTTAGACATCCTGACAATGGAGAACAACAAAGTTCAGAATAAATGCATTGATTAGAATTTATGCATCACTCTTCAAGAAGATTCTTCCTTTCCCATTTGTGAATAAGTAAAGTAAGTCAAGTCTGACATGTCTGACTTGACTTATAATATAATAAGTCAAGTAATATAAAAAAAGAAAGAGAGTAATATAAAAAAATAATAGTAATATAAAAAAGAAAGAGAGTTAATCCCTTCACTCATTCATACCCTGACTTCAATCCACTGTCTGCTAAACAAACCACACACAAAAACCACTTGTATCATTTCTATCTTGTTAGTTATTATTTGTGGTTTTATATTTTCAAAATAAAAAAAGTCACATGCAATTGAATTCAATTGTAGCCGGAATATTTTCTGAAGATTTGACATAATGCCAAAGTTACATTTATTTTTATTTCTTAGTTTTGATCTCTAATGACATCTTGACATGATGTAGTTTCCTTTGAATTGACCATCTCTTAAAAAGTTGGTCAAGGAACGAATTATATGGAGAGAGAAGCATGCCAAATTACAGAAAGTGCTTTCAATGAAGGTATTGACCTCAGAGTTGCAGCAAACTTGAAAGAAATTGTCTTGGCTTGCCGTTGCAAACAGCCAATCAGACGTCAGGGTCTCCGTAGCAGCTGCCCTAATCCTGCCCTCTGAGTCTGATGGGTGAAGTGAAATCATTGAAATGTTATTTGGTTTTTAAAATTACATCTATACATTTAATCGAGGTGCATATAATTCATTCTACTAAATAAATTAATTTGATTTAATTAATTATTTCTGCATTTGTTTGCAGTTTTAATAAATTAATGACACAATTAAATAATGACTTCATCAGTTATTTATTGTGATTTGGCACTCTTTGGCTCTCCGTACAGTCAAAGACATGAAGCGGTTTTGAAAAGCCTGAAGCTGAATCTGAGGAAATGTGACGTTTTCGTGATGCTGACACTGAAGAAATAAACAAACGGATGAAGAAAAACTTTAAGGCGCATTAGAAAGGGTTTTAAACAACATGTCTACGTCAAAGGTAACGGCGTTATTCCAGCGTTATTACTCCAACAAAATAAGGGATTGCAGTGAGACAATTCAGGGAAGCCCTTCACATTCTAACAGTGGGTCGCCATTTAAGGACTGTTTTGCGTCTTACTGCTTAGATATCCCACAGCCAGCCCGGCTTTGTGCTGCAGATGACTTCCGGGCGTTCCTGAATGACCTTTAGTTCCGCTTTCATCCCAGAGTTTTGCCCCATACGGAGCTTGAAAGTTTGGCGTGTTGGAGGTGTCACTTCTCTCACATCTCCAGCAATTATAGCTTTCTTCACATGTGTGCGTGATGGAGGTTTTATTGTTCTGCAGAGAAGCGTGCCACGCTGTGAGTGGGGTGAGTGGGAGGCGAGGTGGAGCCACTTCAGGCACGCGTCCCCTTTGACTCATTGTAATAGGAATGGGTCCCCACCCCCCACCCACGCTCACCCAGGCGCCACACAAAGCAAAACACACACTGTAAAGAAGGTAGAAAACACAACTTGTTATGTCAGAAATCCGACTGAGCTCTAATAAACATGACTTAAGTTAAAAAAGTTTGTATTTGATCAGATTTCTTTTTGTCACTTTTACCACAGCTAACATTTCACACTGTTGATGTGAAACATTAACATTTAGATTTTTATCAGCTGCCATCTCGGCGGCGCAGGTGGCGAGTCCGGTCAGTGTTTGTAGGCGAACAGTTCAGGTGTGTTTACCGCATCCCTGCGACAGGTGCTGGACCAATGAGACCAGCCAATGAGAGCGCAGGCTGCGGCTGCTGCTGGTCTGTAGGCTCCGGTGCGTGCAAGACAAAAGCCAAGGGGACGGAGCCTCTCGAGCTCGAGCATGTGCCGTTGATTACCATACAGCTGTTCGCTCGTGCTCCAAATAAAGCCCCCCACACCCTCCGTCTCGCGCCTCTTCGCCAAGCCGAGGAGGCCCGGATAACTGCTAGAAGCTTTAATAAAGTCTGATCCTGGACCTGCCCACCCTTTTGTCACCGCACACGCGTCGGAGCAATTATAGAAGGGGGGATGGAGGGGGGGAGGAAAAGATAGAAGAGAATAAAGAAAATAAAGCCCCATCTTTCTGTAGATCGGAGCAGATTGTATCCGTGGTTTCCTTCTCTCATAATCCATAGTTTTCATAACTTAAATTCAGGAAACTTCTTAATCTGTCAGTTTAAAAGGGAAAGTTGTGGTTGTTTGGTAAAAGCAGGAAACTGAAAGCTGAGATCATCCTGTAAGTCTGAGCAGGATTGTCAACATTTGATTGGTTAAAAATTAAGCTAAACTGCTTCATTCGAACATTTTTCCATTTTAAAGTCACTTTTAAAAAAATTATTTTCTACTGAGTCGCGATTGATTTGCTGTTGAAACGTCAGGACGGTGACAGATCACCTCCATCGCTTTGACTTTGCGTGGCTAATTAACGTGATGAGAAAACTGTAGAGGGAGCGTATCTGCTCCGCGCCAGCTTCTTATGAATATTCCTCAGATTTCCACTCCAGATGTAATGTGGGTTGCCTAATTCCCCGAGCAGCCCCCCCCCCCCTCCACCCCCCTGTCAGGATGCTCCCCTGAGGTCTGCGCGCGCTCCACCTCCTTGCCGTGACGTGCGAAACGCGCGGGTATAAAAGCCCTTTGAGTCTTTTCGCACCAGAACCGAACCAAGAGAGCGCCAGCTTCCTCACAGGACCCAAGGGGAGACCAGCAGGGAGGAACTGGAAGCACTGGAAGGATATCCCACTCCATGGGGATGAAACTTTAAGAGATTTTACTGTTTATAAACTGAACGCTTCCGAAGTCTGCTGTTATTTTGGGATATTATTGCGAACATCTATTCAGAACCCAAGGAACCGGACTTTCACCGAGTACAATGGCGCATTCACACCTGAGATACCTCTTGGCTTTGGCCTTGGTGCACGTGGTGAGTTGACTTGTATTACCTTAACTTAAATAACCTCCTTACAATGTCCTTTTGCCGTGCCTCACGATGATCACCGTCGCCCTGTCGCAGGTTTGGTCCTCCGGTGTCTTCGAGTTGAAGATCCACTCCTTCCACACGGCGCAGCGCATCTGCAGACGACACAGAGACTGTCACATCTTCTTCAGGATTTGCCTAAAACACCCGGAGGATGTGATCTCAGCCGAGCCGCCCTGCACCTTTGGCACCGGGCACACGAACGTAATCCGGGCGGATCACACGTCGATCTCCAGCAGCGCTCCCATCCGAGTCCCCTTCCACTTTAAATGGCCGGTAAGTGCAAAAATCACAAAAAAAACATAATAATAATAATAATAATAATAATAATAATAATAATAATAATAATAAAATATCACTCGCCATTTCGTTCATTTCAATTTTCATTTAACAAGTCCTTTATTGTAACCTAAACAAATTAATATCCGTTATTTTCTCCCTGTGTGAAATTGTTCATGAATCATTAAGCAATCACATATACTCAAACATGACATATAATTTATTTAGCTATACCGATTTCTGAAGGATGTGTTTTACAGCCTTCGCCCTACTTACACCACGATTGATTGTAGTTGGCCACAGTTAATGGTACTTGACCAAACCAAAATAACTCAAAATTTTGCTGGTTGTCATATTTTATGGACAAGTCAGCTTATTTTTATTTCAGTAGTCTGAGCAGATAACCGGTAAGTACCTTAATTAATCGATTATCAGCTTCGTTTAGTAGTCAAAAGTGCTGGACGCGAAGCGATCAACTCTAAAGAAAAGAAGCGAAATCATATCAAATCATATCACCCGTAGCGGTGGCTCATAGTTCAATAATTCCAATAATTCAATAATAAATTCCAACACCATCGTCTTTAGAATATGAATTATTAAACATTTTGTGTGTTTTTCAGGGGACCTTTTCATTGATCATCGAAGCCTGGAACGCAGAATCTCCCACAGAGTACACAGGTAGACTTTTTCTTTTCTTATTTGTTGTTGTTGTTTTGTTTTGTTTTTACTCCATGACTTTATGACCAGAAAAAAACAAACTAACTAATCGCGTCTCTCGTTCTCAGACAACCAAAACAACCTCGTGAGCCGCCTGGCGACCAGGAGGCGGCTGGCTATTGGCGAGGATTGGTCCCAGGACGTGCACTTCGGCGAGCAGAGCGAGCTGCGCTACTCCTACCACGTCTACTGCGACGAGTACTACTTCGGGGACGGCTGCGCGGACTACTGCAGGCCGAGGGACGACACGCTGGGCCACTACACCTGCGACGAGGAGGGCAACCGCATCTGCCTGGAGGGCTGGAAGGGAAACTACTGCTCTGAGCGTGAGTGGAGATTACTGATGAAGTTCCCAGGCAGAGGCGGCCAAAAATTAATTGGGGGCCATAAATAGCCTTGGATTAGGGGCCCACATTTCAGCTCATATTGTACAGTAATCAGTGATTGTCCTTTCCAGTTAATGTGTTATAAATATTAAGAATTAAAATTGATCATTAAAATAATAATTACAGTGAATTAATAATTAATTTTCTAGATGAACTGATTTGAATTCCAGAGGAAGTAAAAGTCTTACATTTGGTGGTCAGAAACCTTTGAAGCACATTTAAAAGTTCGTAGTTCTCCTAGTTGCTACTGTAAACTATGTGATCCACCACATGAGTGTAGTTGGCCACCATTAATGGTGCTGTGTGATTAAAGTGAACTGCTCCTTTGGGGCCCCTACTGACCAGGGGACCCTGAGCAGCAGCTTTATTAGCTTATGTCTCATTCTGACTCTGATCCCAGCAATGACATGTTCACTTGTTTTTTTTTTAACGATTTAACGTTTTATGATTTAACTGTTTTGAATCGGACACAAAAAACAGCTAAAGTTCTAAAGTTATGGAAAATACTTAAAGCCATGCCCTGTTTCCAAACACAGACCACTGTCTGTCTCAAACTGATTGAATGTTGAGGGGGGAAAAACTGTGTATTTTTAGTTTTGGTGCTTAAAGATAAACTCCAGAGTTTTCAGAGCCAATGGGTTTTTTGTGCTGGTACAGTCTGATGATGATGATGGTGATTATGTCCCATCTGCCGTTTGTTCTCTTACAATAAGAGAAAGAGTTGTGGCCCCCTTTAGACACATTTTTCAAGGTGATCTGAGAGGCAATGTGTGTGTGTGTGAGACAGTGACAGTTTGTGTGTGTGCGTGCGTGTGTGTGTGTGTGTGTGTGTGATGGAAAGGACATAAAAGAAAGCATCTTTCTTCGGCTGTGTGCCTGCCAGCTGCTTGGATTAATACTTAACCAACAGTGAAGTCTGAGACAAGGGTGGGTTCAGACTTGGAGGGGGGGATCTGTATGGTGTGTGTGTGTTTGAGAAGGCGTGCCCATTGTAATCACACCTCCACCCCTCCCTTTCTTTCTCCAGCCATCTGCTCGGCGGACTGCAGCGAGAAGCACGGCTACTGCGAGGCCCCTGGGGGCTGTACATGCCGCATGGGCTGGCAGGGCCCCTCCTGTAATGAATGCGTGCGTTACCCAGGCTGTCTCCATGGGACGTGCAGCCAGCCGTGGCAGTGTAACTGTCAGGAGGGCTGGGGGGGCCTCTTCTGCGACCAGGACCTCAACTACTGCACCAACCACAAGCCATGTGCCAACGGGGCCACCTGCACCAACACGGGTCAGGGCAGCTACACCTGTACGTGTCGGCCCGGCTTTGGAGGCACCAACTGTGAGCTGGAAACCAACGAGTGTGACAGCAACCCCTGCAAGAACGGAGGCAGCTGCAATGTAAGTGTCCGCAACGACTGGCCCTACCTGTGTGCTGTGCAGGGATTGTGGTGTCCCATTTGGCTTGTGGATCAAGGGGATTAAGATATCATGTAGTGGTCCCCAACGCTGTTGCTTGAGGGATAGATTACTTTTAGTTAATTCATAAAAGAAAATGGGCACCTCTTCAAAACGACAGTTATTCTTCTGCAGAGGCTGTGTAGTCACTAAGGCTTATTGTCCAGGGGGTCTCTGCTAATCTTCTACCGGACTGAACTCAAAGCAAGTGCAGAATATTAATATCTATAATCTGCCTCCAGGACCTGGAGAACGACTACTCCTGCACCTGTCCACAGGGGTTCTACGGAAAGAACTGTGAGATCATCGCCATGACCTGCGCAGACGGTCCCTGCTTTAACGGCGGAACCTGCGTGGAGACGATGACAGGCGGCTACACATGCCGCTGCCCTCCCAGCTACACTGGCTCCAACTGTGAGAAGAAGTTGGACCGCTGCAGCAACAGGCCTTGTCTGAACGGTGAGTTCTGCCGTCAGAGTCCTCTCTGGCGACATCTTGTGGCTGAAGTGTGAACGAGCACGCTTCTTTTTTATTAAGCATGATCATCTTGTTCATTGTTACTCCTGCATGCTGAGCTGAGTGTTTCACTCTTCTTCAGGTGGCGACTGTCTGGACCTCGGCCAGAGTATCCTGTGCCGCTGTCAGCCAGGTTTCACCGGCGCCAATTGCCAGGTCAACATCGACGACTGCACCTTGAATCCCTGCCAAAATGCTGGAACCTGCCAGGATGGTGTGAATGACTACACTTGCTCCTGCACCTTAGGGTACACTGGCAAGAACTGCAGCATCCGCTCTGACGCCTGCGGGGCTCGTCCGTGCCAAAATGGAGGCACTTGCTTCACCCACTTCACTGGGCCTGTATGCCAGTGTCCGAAGGGCTTCATGGGTCCAAGCTGCGAGTTCACACTTCAACCTAGTTTCAAGCCCGCCTTGCGCCAAGCCTCCCAGCCCTCCTCCACCACCACTGTCACCATCTCCTGCCTCCTGGCGGTGCTGGTGCTGGTTCTGGTCGCAGGCATCCTTTTCCTGAGGCGGAGAAGGAGGAGGATGGAGGGAAGGAAGCAGCTGAGCGACATTGCGGTCTACAATGACTTGGAGGCGGTCAACAATCTGGGAGGCAGCGAGAGAGATGCCTTCCTCAGTCCTAGCAGCCTCTTCAAGATCAGCAACAGCACAGCTCGCCTCAGCCTCACGCTGTGCCCCGACGGCAGACCTGGGTACAGACACAACCCGGTGGAGAGCAGCCTGGCCAGAACGGAGCGCCAGGACTTCATGTGGAGGGATGACGCCATGCTGGGCTCTGCACCCGGGCTGAGATGAAACCAGGACAAAAACACACACGTTGAAACAGGGGCAAAGAACAGTTTAGCACTTGTTGCTTTTCTCTCTTTTTGAAGAGAGGAGCAGAACCATAAACAGATAGAAACGTCAATGTAAAAAGTTAAGTTCTGACACATGAACTAATGATGATTTACAAGACTTTTGGAGACTTGTGAAGGATTGTGCTCTTTAGTGTTCAAGACCCAAAGAGACAAATAATGTAACCCGCCGCTGATAGGACCTACAACACAAACCAAATGCAGGATGAAGCAATATATTTTCAACACATCCATTTTGTTTTCCTTTGTTAAAAAAGACTTTTGTTTTGCTTTTCAATCTTCCTTTGACCATTTTTTCCTTATTGTGTGCACCATCATCCCCCCCCCCCTATTCTTTATATTATTTATTTATTTGAAAACTTGTGTTTATGGCTTCACTTTGATTGTCACAGATGTAGAAATATATTTATATGGTGCTGAGAGTAGACTGACATTTGTTGCATCTGGATATGTGAAATGTCCCAAAGATAAATGTGTGGGGCTAAAAGGAGCCATTTTTTCAAAAGACATATAAGGTTACCGAATACAGATATAGGTCACGTTACGCTCATGTGCCATTTTAAGTTCATGCCAAAGTTTGTGTTCTGTTGCATTTTTTCACTCATTTTATTTAAGTTCATGTTGTGTGTGGTGTGGAATAAAAGATTTGATATAAAACAGTGCAATGTGTAGCTCCTTGGATTGCACCATGGGATTATAGCAGGCATAGTCTCCTTGGTGACAAGGACAAGATTTTGTATAAACAAGGTATTTAGAAAAGTGCATTTTAGGGGTTTTATGTCCATTCTAATTAATAATTCATCCGTCAGTCATTTCTCAATAGTCTTTTCATTGAAAAAGTTTATTGTTCAAACTAAATTTGTGATCAATTTTAAGGAAAGAAAAACTTATTTGTTGTAGTTAAATGGGGTTATTTTGGGGGCCATATTTTCACCTGGTGGAGCGCGTGCACCGTTTACAGAGATGGAAGTCCTGGTTGCCCAGGTGACCGGCGGCTGCACGTCATCGCCTTCTCTCCCCTCTCCCTATTAGTACGATTTAATAAAGGCCACTAGAACCTAAAAGTCTTTTGAAAATAGAATATATATATTTTTTTATCTGAACAAAAGAACAGGTGCTTGTCATTTCCTGTTTGCAGTTCAAAATCTACCACAGGACGCATGTTTTGCTCCCAGAATGCTTAAATTATTACTCTCAGCGGGGCGTTTCTTACCTCATCGACTTTTCTGAAATATATTTGCTCAAAGTCTGTCACAGTCAAATTCAGGGTTTTTGTTCTTATTTATATTTTGACATTTTTATCAGTATTTATCTAAGTGGGTTTTGTTAAAACAAAAAGGAAAGGCACAACAATAGTTTAATTTTTCACGAATTCTACATGTGAACCATTTGTTATCTACCTGCTGCTAGGAAATGGAAGTACGTAATGGCAGTGCGTAGGTACGAAATGGGGCTATACTCACTGACAGAGGGACTCTAATCGAGACAAAACCAAATACCTAAACAATTATCCCACACCCACATAAACATCCGGACAGCCCGCAGAGCCGCTGCTGTCGCCTCCCAGCGCCTCCCAGCGCTCCGCTCTCCAGACGAGCAGAAAGGCGAGAAGCGAGTGAGAGAGCAAGCTCACAGCAGCGATGGCAACTGACGGCAGCGGGACGCCGCTCGAAGACAACGACGAGCCGGCTCCATCAGACCTGGAGCCCAGCGGAAACATCCCGAAGAGGCACGCCCGGGTCACGGTGAAGTACAACAGGAAGGAGCTGCAGAGGCGGCTGGACGTGGAGAAGTGGATCGACGAGAGCCTGGACCAGCTGTACAGGGGCCAGGTGGGTCCCGCAGCTGCTGTGGCTCCACTGCACGCTGCTGCCTCTTTATCGCCTCGCTATTTGATTAGAACTGGTACAGAAATGCAATAAATCCAACACGCAATCCCTTCAGATAAGTTTATTAAGTTGCTATAAAAGGGTTTGGAGGCGCCTTGGGGAGTCCCCAAGGCTCCAGTGGTCTCTGAGGTGTTGAAACGGCAGAGGGGAGGAGGGGGGCTGCATGTCCTTACATGGCCAGACTCTGTGTATAAGGGCTGGGTCCCTTTCATAGATCTGTATCTGACATGGGGCTTTCTGTCCTTACATGGACATCATGGGACAACAGACTGAAGGGTGACTGAAGAGAGGAGTGTCCCAGGAGGTAAACTGTGTGTACTAGATGCTGACAGGGGGATGGAGCACATCACCAGACGCAGAGAAAAGGGTGTTTTTGGATGCAACTCGATGGGTTTGTGTTTCGAAAGCAGATTTACTAGATTTTCAGGCAACAGTATTTGGATTACAGCGATAAAGCAAAGGACAAACAGGTTTTTTCACCTGCATTCCTTAATCGTTGGAGCCTGAGCATGCACTTCCTGGTGAGCTAAAAGTGCAAAAAGTAGTTTCTGTTTGCAAAAAGGGGTTCAAGATTGTTGCTTATTGCAGAAATCAAAAAACGTCTTGTCCACAAAGAACAGATTGGGTGTACCGTAGAGCCGCAGTCCTGCTTGTGCCAAGATCCCAATCAAACGGAGAAGCTCAGTCCAGTGGTGTGGACGACTGGGTTCTCTGCTTGTACAATGGCTGCTTGTCTCAGCAGAACAGGCCTTTGTTACAGTATTATGCAAACTTCACTATTCAGCCTCCTGGGCCTACAGATGTTTGCAGTGCAAGGACTTTAGCCGGTTCTCAGAAAATGACAGTCGACTCAAAGGAACTCAAGCAAGAGAGATGTGTTCAAAGGTCAAAGTTCCTGCTGCTCGGACAGAAAGATCTATTCAACAAATGTATTGATTGGCCAAAGTGTTTCGGATTTTGTGCTTCATCGGCGTCATCGCAAAGGATACACTGTAAAATCGAATTGGTTGTCTTTATTTAAAATATATGACAACTTGTTGCCTCAAAATGTTTCTAGTTTTCATCAGATCTGTCTTCAGTTTCTTTGTTTCCTTCATGGACAAACATGACAATGGCGCGGTCTTATCTTGCTACATTAGCAACATTTAGGCAAAACAGGTCTTATCTGAGAAACATCCAGAAACATAAAAGTGATTAAAAAGTTTCACTTGCAGTTTGAACGACTCAAAAGCTGGGAATGTTATATTTAATGGTATGAAAGCCTTCTGCAGTTGGCAGGAGGAGCAACAAATAGAATTTTGTGTTTGCATTTCTTGCGTCTGTGTTTCTTTCACTTTGACTAAACATGTTTTCCTCCTTGTCCTGTTTGCAAACCTTTGACGACGTCAGGAGGACGACATGCCGGAGGAGGTGAACATCGACGACTTGATTGACCTTCGTACTGATGAGGAGCGAATCGTGAAGTTAAAGGTAGCGCGACGTGTCACATGTTTTAGTGATTTGCTGTGTTTGGTGGTGTTATTTATTCAGAAACAGTTTGTGTTATTGAACAGTTCCCCCAATAGTCACATTAGTAGATTTAAGAACACATTACTGTAACATCACAGAGCCACAAATCTGAGGATAAATGTGTAATTTTTTTATTGTAAATCTGTTATTTGTTGTTTTTTTTAACAGGAACTCCTCCATAGCTGCAGTAACAACACTGAGGTGAGATTCAATAAGAATTGTTACTAATTTTATACACTTTTAAGCACGTTTTGCACAGTGTATAGCTTCCAACTCACTAACCTGAATTTGATTTCAACAATGGCTTTCCGTATTCTCTTGCCTCAGTTATAACGCAGAAACAGCGGATCTTTCCTGAGTCAAACATTGTTCCCGCACAGTCCTGGTTTAAACGTCAGTCACTGGAAAAATGCCTCCAGATACTCCGCGGCTCCTGCTGTTTAAGCTGAGCGCAGGTTTATTATTGAGTCAGGCCTATGACTATAAATATTTCTTTCCCATGTGATGATAAAAACTTCTTTTTTTTTTATCCAGAAAAATGAGAAGAAGTCCCTGTTTGGTCCCAAAATCAGTTTGGAAGTAGAGTGATATTCATCTGTGCATTCAATTGAATTTATTTTTGCTGTGCTTACAGTAAACGGGGAAAGAATTCTAAATATGAAACTCAAAGTTTGAATAATGAACAAGGCAGTCGAGTGTCGGTTTTTACTAATAACTTGGCTGCCTTTCTTCCTGTGTCCGTTTGCATCGTTGCCACAACATGATGCATGTGGACCCTTTGCTTCTCAGCAGGCTGTAATCTTTTATTTTACCCTAACAGACTGCAGATCAGGGGAAGAGTTTGACTGATTATTTTATTTAATAGACAAATGCAGAAAAAAAACAGCGATGATGACACATGTTGCCTTTTTGTTTATTAAATTCTGAGGTCCGTCGTATTCGGTCTCTTGACCTTCCAATGTTCTTGGAAGAATCCGTGTTGTGATTTACGTCAGTAAACAGAACCGATTTGTTTTTTTCAACCTGCATACATAAATAGATTTAGCAAAGCTTAATCCCCACATGAGTGTTATAATCCCTGAGAATATTAGATGGAGTCACAATCGAGTGGCAACAGCAATGGAAGTGGAGAAAAAAATGCTGCTGCCCATCGATATGGAAAGGGTTGAGGCTATCTATAGATCTGCAGATAGAATAACTGTTGATGAGTGAAAAATATTTATCAAAGCTTCCAATTTGTCCCTCTTTCAACTTGTTTTTCTCACTGTATGAAGTTAAATCAGATCAAACTTCTCAGCTAGAATGACCAAAAACATTTCTATTTGCTGAACTTCACAATAATGAGACAAAGAATTGTGTCAGAGATTGTAGTAGTGGTTCTCAGCTTTGAATCAGGAATGGAGAGCTGAAGGGGGCATTCACACCAGTCTCGTTTAGTCGACTTTAATCGAACTCTAGGTGTGAATGCTGACCTAAAAAGTGAACTCTGGTTTATCTAAAATACCTCGGTCTTTGTTCGGTTGTCTTGATCTCTGGTCTGCTCCAATGGACTACAGCAGGGAATTCTGGGTGAATACAACCAAAACCAACCTCAGAGTCTAGTGCATGAGAAATGGCTTGTGGTCTTTTTCCAAAGACAAAAGAGAAATCCTACAACTGCTAAAATCCAAGGCCACTCCATTTTGTGTTTACACAGATTGAAGAAGGAAACGCTCACGTCTTCTTCAGATGTCTTTGTGTTGTTTCCTTTGGTGGTTCTTGGTGGAGCGCCCCTACAGGCGAGAGGGGGGAACAAGTTTTTCAAAGGCTTTGATTTGTTTGACACAATGCAGCGTGAAAGCGAACCACACCAACAGAAAATGTAACAAATGTTGCAATTCTGCCCCCTAATCGAACCAAGTGTACCAGGTGTGAAAACGCTGCTGGAGAATTGAGTGGGAGTGCAACTTGATGTTCCCACCTCCACTGTTGTGGGCGGTGGGGTAACGAGTGAAACGGTAAGGTCACAAACCAAGCAGCTGAAATGAGCAGCTGAGCCGGACCCTCCCTTGGGGAAATGGTGATGAGTTTGTAGACTTTTGGGGACAGTCTCAGAGGAGAGGCAGGAGCAAACACAGCCGGCAGGCGGGGTTTGGACATCTGGTTGGGACGGGCCTGAATACCAGGACTTTCTGTCGAAATTAAATTGTCTGGGGATTGATCCAGAGTTGTGGTATTAGAAGCCTGCTTTCTCTTGCTCCAATCTGATTGGTTCAGAAGACAGGAAGTCTGACATTGGGTCACCCTGAGGTTCTAGAGAGTAAGATAAGCAGCAGACATCATTACCAAGCCATCTTCCTGCCTTTTCTGTCAGTGTGATGTATGACTGCTAACCAGGTGGGTTGAAATATAAACACATGGACACAATTCACATTCATAGCTCCAGAATGACATAATGTTGAATGTTAACAGCGTCCTGCTTTGTATGGGTCCATGAAAGCATTTCACAATAGCATTCTCTCTATGAGCACTGTTGTTTTAAAAACCACGTTTTAAAAGAAACAAAACATTTTGAGTATTAACTGAGTCTGCATCATTCCTCGTGTCGTGTGTGATGCATATCCTGCAAGTTGCAAATGGACACAGTTTTATTCTTTTGTCGGGATTTGCCAAATTACAGGAAAGATGGTCCCAAAACATTTAAATTTACAAGGAACCCACATGTGTCATGATGCCAGACATGTGGGGTTCCTTCAGTATTGTTCAGATTAAAGAAGAAATTTATAAATTTGTAAGAAATATATCCAATTAAAAAGAGAAATACCAGATGGATTGTCATTTTAAACCAGTTGCTCCAAGATGAAAAAGAGAAAAACAGATCTGATTTTGTTAAAGGAACGTACATTTTCATATGGTCCTTGTGAAGACAAGAATGTTAGGGAGAAATATGAATATTATTAATATTATTAATATGACAGCTCTGGTGGTGGTGTGGTTAGGGATGCTGCCAACACCATGTTTTACCATGCAGATGATGTGCTTCAGTGTGGAGCAAAAAAGTTCTGTTTTGGTTGGTTCTGGTCCAGTTCCAGTTGTTCTGTTTTTAGATGATGGATTGAGCAGATGTAAGATGTTTAGTTTTGGATGATGTTTTATAACTCAACCCTGTCCATTCATTTTTTTTTCTTCTACAAACTTCTGAGGCAGATTTTATTAAACACAGATGAACGTTTTATACAAGTTATGCAACACAGAAGGCCACTGGAGTTTTTTAAGGTTACTGGAGCAAAAGGTGTTGAATAAAATAAAATAAAATATTCTAGAATGGAAGCATGTTGGAGTTGTTCTGCTATGTTTGCTCTGATGTTTTCTTTTGGTAGAGTTTTGGTCATTTTTAGTTTTTTTTTTTAGGTTGAAGCATTGCTTACAGTTCTTCCCTCTGGTTTTGAACGTTGTGATTTTTTTTTCTTTCATTCTTTTGCTTCTGAACACCTGTTATGATGAGTAACCATGGCAGCAAGGTTTTGTTTTTACAACTGGGAGCAGCCGATTAGCATCCAAAGAGCTGAAATAGTACTTGAACTACGACCCTGAATCCCAGGAGATTCTGTTCTGCCTCACTGCGGTAGAGCAGAGCGAGAAGGAGGAAGTTCAAACCAACTCTTCCATCGATGACACGGCCAGGATCATATCCCCAACTCCAACATCTTTCCGCACAGCTTTCCAAGCTGATACTTGGATGATATGAGTTACAACATTTAGTTTCTTGGTATTTTCTTAGTACAAATCCACATCACACTTCTCAGTTGTTTATGAAAACCAAATACCCTTAACTTCTACTTCATGTTTGTCGTTTACATAAAATCTCAAAATACATTAATGGTGTGTAAATACTGTAAATACTGAAGACACTGCCTATCTGTTGCTGAATTTCGCTCCTTAAACGTCAACGGGTTGCAAAGCAAAGCTTGAGTGACATGCCTGATTGTAAAGTTTCAGTGGATCTGTGTGTGAGAACGGCTCTGGGTTCTGTGTTCCTCCTCAGGCCTTCATCAAGGAGCTGGTGGCGAAGCTGGTGGGCGTTCACAAGCAGGAGGATCTGCAGAGCGAAGGCATCGGGCATCCTGCCATCTGCCACAGCCTCCACCGCCACGAGCCCTACCACTTCAACAACCCGCAGCACCACTTCCCTCACACGCGAGGCCACAACCAGAGTCTCTGACGGGAACCGGATCCGCGCGAAGACGAGCTGACGCACAAGGTCGGCTGTTTTGGACTGAAAGGTTCAGGGATCGACAGAACATCAAACATACTGACACACTTCAAATGTAAGGCTCTCCTGCTGAGGGTTAGAGATAGTGACTCTATTCACAATCGGCTCTCAGGTAAAGCATGAAGGAATGCAAAGAGAAACCTTCACTCTGCCTGAGTTAGGAGGCAAACAAAGTCTAATCTACTACCAGTTAGTGTTTAACCTGCTGCAAAGCCAGTCGTGCTGGTAGAAATGCTCCGGCAGGTTTCTGCTGCTTTGGGTCACAACTTAGTCCACGATTTTAACTGTGATTTGCAGGGGATTAATGGCAGATTTGTTGTCTGTTATCAAAAAGATGCTTATAGTTTCTGTTTCATCCTTTATTTTTTGCAAAGGGTTTCTTCAAAAGATTTGTTTTAAATGGTAACACTATCTGTAATCCCATTACGGATGTGAGCAAAACTTTGTTATTCTGCTAATTAAATAAAAAAAAAAAAACAACCCCACAATTTCACAACCGAGGTGTTTCTATTAAATAAGAAATAAAATTAAAAATCGCACATGAATACGTTTGTCCGTGCGACGCCATTAAAAAAACAGACTGTGCCATCGTCCTCCTCATCCTAATGCAGAAATGTTTCACCAAAAAAATGAATGTTTTCTAAACTGCCGCATTTCTATTAAGCAAATTTATTTTCGCAATTCCAAATTGCACAATTAAACGGTCAACGGAAACGCAGCTGCTGATGATGTGGCTCAGTTTCACAAAGAAGTTGGGTCTGAACTTGACCATTTTGAGCTGATTCCAGTCAGACTGTCTCTTTAATTCTGCTGCTAATGAGTTCATGTTGATCCATTTGAAGAACTTTAGAAATCAGCTTGAGATTTAAAAATGTGCACATCCAGTTTTTAAGAACGTGGCAGTGATGTAATCTACTGGTTTTCTTATTTTTAATGGTCTGATTATGTTTCATCCTCAGTGACCTGAAAGAGCTGAAACAATTCATCAGAATAGGGGTGATTAATCGATTATTGAAATAATCATCAATTTAGTCGCCGATTAATTGAAAACTGGAGTACACAGACTCAAAAAAAGTCTGCCATTTGCTGAAAAAATAAAATACTCAGAACAGATATTAAGCTAAAATTGTACAACAAATATATACATTTTGTATTTAGGATGAAAAAAAAACTCCAACTTTGGTCTGTATACAAAACAGATCAAGTGTTCACTTGGTTCAAATAAAAATAAAATAAAATAAAATAAAAAAATCTACTAAGCACATTTTATAATCCAATTATGAACTGGTTAATATAAAATATAATATTAATGCTAAGCTGAGCAGGAAGGATTGAGCTTTTCACATGTTCACATTAGAAGTATTTTTTAGATGCATCCTTTGCTACACATGATCAACTGCTCACTACAGAAATGCTACGCTGTTGCATTTTAAGCAAGAAAATGTTAATTTCCTTCTTCAGAAAAGGAACTCAATTGTTTGCTCATTTGCATCTGGTAATGTATTTCTAATATTGCGTAAAAAGAATGCTTAAGTGGTTAAATGGAAAATCTGCAGAATGTTCCAATTTTTAAAACCCGATTAATCAATTAATCGTCAGAATAAGAATAAGAATAATTGCGAAAATTATTGTTGAATGAGAGAAAATGGCAGGAAGTCTGGGATCATTCCTGACTGGTTTGGTGCTGCTGCAACTCTACAGACTTTAATGCCTCTTCCTATCAGAAGCCGCCTTTCTTCATAAATTTACTCTTACATTTCCACGCAGGTCGACTTTTACTCACCGTATGCTTCAGCGTCTCTCTGCTGCTGTCTCTGGTTCTGCCCTGTTCCTTCCTTTGACCAGAAACACCCAACAAAAACTGTCGTTCTGGAGATTTTCTGACCCAGTTATCCAACCTTTACGATTTGGTCCAGGTCAAGCCTTGATTTAAATGAACTCAGTGTTTCAGCCATTGCGCAGTTTTCTGGAAGTTTGTTCCAGATTTGTGGTGCATTGAAGCTGCATGCTGCATGTTTGGTTCTGGGGATGCAGAGAAGAACCAGAACCAGAAACAAACACCAAAATGTTTTTTTTTTAATCATTAAAACACTTGCATTATTTTGCAGATACCTAACTGACCATGATGTGAAACAACACATTCAGGTTTTCCATTCAGTAATCAGAAAATGAGACAAACTTTATAAAAAAAAAACCATTCCATATTCACAGCTTTGACAAAGTATTTCCCCCCCCGGAAATTTTTTTTTTTTTTTTTTTTTGTTGTTGTTGTTTCACTTTGACTTCTTTGATGTTTCAGAACATCAAAAAAAATCGTAATATCAGACAAAGGCAACCAGATTACAAAAGGTAGCCACAAAATGCAGTTTAAATTTTTATGGGACAAAAAAATCTATCCAAAGAAATCTGGTACTAGAAGTGATCACCCCTTAACCCTAACCATGTTTGTACAGCAGTGGTTTTTAACTCTCCCTGTAAGCTGGTTAAGTTCTTATTGTTGGATCATGAACTGCAGCTCTAACAGTAGTTGAGTGCTGCACCACTTTGAATGTGGTTCTGCGTTCTTTTAGGTTCTCTTCGCTCCGGGTGTAATTTTGGATGTTCTGTGGATTACTTACTACTTATTGACATGAAAATTTGGGAAGCTTTCTGCAGATTCGGTCAGGTTATCTTGGCTTGATATTAAAACTTGTTTTTGATGATCTGAAATGTTTAAGTATGACAAAAAAAAATTTCACTGAACTGTATCTATATGATGTGACGCTGGGAATGAAACCTTTGTGATCACTGAAACGTTGTAGCTTTTCAATGGTGCACCTCTGCAGAGAACTGTTAAAAAAAGTCAACTTAATAAAATAATTTATGCAACTATTTGCTATTTGTTTTGCTTCATGTTTGTAAGGCGTCTGAAGAGCAGTTGAAGAAGGGAGCGCATGTTTCTGGGAGCGGTATTTCAGTTTAATTAAAAATAGTTTTATTTGTATCACTACAGTAGTTACTGCATTTATATATTTTTATTTCACAATATCTCTCCAGGTGTTGACATAACAGAGTTCGCTGCCGTGCGACAAATGAGATTAGAGACAACTCTGCAATAATCCCTGCAGCTTTCACTCACAACAAAATGCATTTGCTTGATAAAATCATTTCTGAATCTGATTTAATTTAAACCAAATCACTGGTTTCCTTCTGTGTAATTTCTTTAAATAAAACGTTATGAAGTTAGGAAACAACATCTGGAGAAACTGATCAAAACAGCAGTCCATTCAGTGGATCACACTGGATACTCTGGATCCAGTGTGATCCACTCATCATTGGCTCGGACGGTTACATTGCTCAGGATCCACCAGCGTTGATCAGATGATAAACAGGGAGGATGTTGGAAGACCGGTTTTTATATCAGCATGGGCTGAGAGGGTGCAGACCAGGCCGAGTTCAACAAACGACACCTTCTGTATTGACTGACAGTTAAAGTGTGCTGTAATCAAAAACGGTAAAGAGATTAAGTAGCATCTTTTACGCTATCATCACAGCATGGGGTTGTTTTGCTGCTAGTGTTATGGGTGCGTTGCATAAATTAAATGACAAAATGAAAAAGAACTGGAACCAGTTTATTTAACTATACCTTTTAGAAACAACTAGAAGGTTCTAGTTGTTTCTAAACAACAACTGAATGATCCAACAGGACAATTGAGAACAACTGAATGATCCAACAGGACAATTGAGAACAACTGAATGATCCAACAGGACAATTAATCTAAACACACATGAAACTGGTTTTTGGAATGTATTAGGAAAAAGCACATCTTCGTTTTCTGCATTTTAATTGGCTGAGGGACAGCTGAAGAAGGAGGGAAGTACACGCTCACATAAATGAACTTCACTACACTGACATCTAACAGTTGGGGCAAATAAATAAACAGATAAATAAACAGATGAGATCAGTTGCATGCTAAAGATTTATCAAAGCCATCAGACTGGATGGAAGTTAATTTGGAACATTACTTAATCTGTCCAGCAGAGAGCATTGGAAACTTGATTTTTACTGTGAGTAATCACATTCAGAAGATGCTTATTGTGAAGCTACATGTATGTAGCTTACATATTTATATGCATATAGCTATATATCCAGTTCACAAAGTGTATCCTTCTGTATAAACAAAATAATTTATTTTCATTCAACTTTACAGTAGTTACACACATCAGTTAATCATTTTGTATTACAAATCAAATAGAAATTAGTTGATTAAAAAAAAACAACAACGGGCTGTTATTTAAACCCCTCCATTCTGTGTGAAGATGTGAGCCCTGTGGATGAGAGTGACAGAAGAAGAAACCTCCAGGAAAACGCAGATGGACTGAGCCGAGCAAACTTTCATTAGAAAAGGTAAATAAATGACACAGCGTAAAGTTAATGGCCCTGTTAACTCAAAATGATGTAAACATGTTAAGATTAAACACAATAAAGCAGAAAAAACAATTCAGCCTGATTTATGACAGAAACTCCAGACAAAGACGGAGGCCAGTTCGCTGGCTGGGTCTGTCACTACCTAACAAACAGACCACATTTTGTGAGGATGAAGGTTGTGAGTCTAATCAGGCCGAAACTGTGATTCAGTGTATTGGTTAGAGAAGAGACTAGAAAGAGCGTCTAAGTTTCTCACAAGCCGCCATTTTGAAACACACATCAACCTACTATGACCTTATTGAAGTTATGAGACATTTAAATAAAAGGGTAAACTTATGCTATGTTGTAGGTTCGATTCCAGCTTCCTCCTGCCACATGTCGATGTGCCCCGGGGCAAGGCACTTAACCCCAAGTTGCCTACCGATCTGCGTGTCGGTGTATAAATGTGTGGGCGTTTGTGAGTGCGAATGGGTGAATGTGACTCTAGTGTAAAGCGCTTTGAGTGGTCAAAATGACCGGAAAAGCGCTATATAAGTTCAGTCCATTTACCAGTGTCAATTGGTTGTGTTAGTAGCTTATTTCACCCTAGCTAAGCAGAAGCATCCTACGTAAGTACTTTAGCACAAGCTAGTGCTAGCTACTATGTTCAAAATTCACAGTTTGACCAAAAAGTTAATCATAAACTCAATAGACAGACAACATTTTAGCTAGCGTGGTATTTATAATAACAATGTTTCGGCTTTACATTGACTGTCCTGGCGCTATAAGCTCTTGTCATAACTCAATGTGAACACTGGGTGGCAGTAAACAGCCATACTGCTGCTGCTTGAAGCTGCTCAGTAAAGCCAGGACATCACAGCAGCAGCAGCAGCAGCAGCAGCAGCAGAGTTGACTGTCATAAAAGTTCAAATCTTCCACCTAAATCTCCCGCTGGGGATCAATGAGCGGCTGATGAGGTAGAAATGGAATTTCTTCTCAAGGCTGTTGTTTGCTTTCTTTGTTTTCTGCCCTCTAGGAGACCACTGTCACAAAAATCACAAAACCCCATTTTAGAG